TTTTTTGATGACTGGCTGTCTCATTCAGGCAGAGTCAGGCAGTAGTGGGTGCCAGGAGGACATCTGTTTTAAAAGAAAAAGATATAAGAAGATTAGTGTCTCCCACAGTCTGTCACCACCATAATTTCTTCTGTTCATCTATTCATCATTTGTTCTTCACCATTATCTGCCCATATATTCATCATTGTCCTTCTACCCCACACCTTTCCATTGATCTGTTCATAATGCCACACCATATTGCAACACCATCACACTCTTTCCTCACAGATCTTGTTTCTGTCTGCCCACCACCTCTATTATTTGTCACGCTTCTCTCAATCTGCCTGTCTTTCTCTCTTTCCACCTCGTCCTTTCTCACACTCTCTCTCTCTCCATCCTTACAGACTCCAAGGGGATCTCCATTCACTGAGATCACATGACCATCAGCCCTATCGGTTCCCCGCCACCCCCGATGTCCTCATACCGTCTCGCTCCATTTCCAGCGAAGTCTAGACCAGCCGTCTGAGCACGCTCAGCAATGCACCGCAGCCCACACCACTGGACGTTACACCACCCTCTACCGCTCCTACTCGACGCAGGTCTAGACATTTTCCTCCTTGCTTCACTCTTCATCTCCATGCCCTCTCCATGCTGCCCTCAGGTCTCCAGCACACTTCTCAAACAAACGAGAGGAGACTTTTTTTTTCGCCTCCAAAAGCTCAGCTATGGAGACTGAATCAAACTTGTCCGGCAGTCTGAAATGTTTTAGGATAATTTCCATCCATTCAGGCTTGACATCGTTTGATTGTTACAGTTTGCTTGAGCAGTGCGTAGTAGCCTTTGGACCACCTAATGACATTTGGCCCTAAATCCATCCAACCTATTCCCAGGGGAACCGATATGGAGTCCATGTGCTGGACTCCTGAGAACAAAACAAAAAAAAAAGACTAAAAGCACCATGTCTGATAGGCCTCTTTTTGTTTCATTATTGTGTGTGTTTTAAAGAGGCATGTTTAAATAGTGTTTATGTATAGCAGTCACTGTACATAATGTATTTAAGGTTTGGATTTCAACAGCCGTGCCAGCAAATCCAACTGAAACCTGAAAAGGATTACCCAGTGTCTTTCTCAGCCTCAGTGTGTATATTGTGAAAAACTGAATTCTATTCAGGTGGACGTTTTTTTTTTGTTTTTTTTTGTTAATCTATTTACATTTGAAAATCAATATGTTTCAGTTCAGCTCTTACAACAGTTTTTGAATCAGTGCCAATGTCCTTTCCCTCATCAGTAACTGGCAGCTTAAAAGGGTGCATTTGACACTTTCATAATTGACGAACCTCAACATCTGGGCAGCCATCTCTGAATCCTCTGTCACAGTAAATGCTCAATGCTTGGTTCATCTCCGAGGATTTTTTTCCCCACCAGTCCCCACAGCGTGGCAGATTTAGCTTGTTAACAGCGATGACACCATTCTGACGCAATGGCATTTTCATCACCCTTGTTCCTGGGAAAAGCTTGTCTCAGACACAACAGTGCACTGTCAGATTCAACACCCACCACAGTTTTGAGAGATCAAAGCCAACACATGTCTGTTTCTCAAAAAAAACAAAAAAAAAACCCAGGACCAACAAGGCATTTGTGTCAGTTTAATTTACTGTGGTTAAAATAGTTATAAGATGTGGGGAATTTATTTTCTTTAATTACTTTCATTGCTGTTTCATACCACTGGCTTGTTTACTCTGGGTTGCCCTGATCTGAAATAGTGTGATGTGGAATGGACATTACTGCAGCTGGTTAGCACAATTTCCCAGCATTCCTACTTTAAAAGGATATTCATGATGGCTTTGGTTAATTATTGAGTCGGATTCATTTGTTTTCTGTAAAATAAGTGTTATAAACATCACTAGTCTTCACTTAGAGTGACAGTTTTGCTGCTTTTAATTTGCACAATGCTTCATGCACCTGTATTACTGTATTTTCCTGAAATACCTTTCCAACAACTTTGTATCTGCTCTCTTTTTGGCTACGTAAACCTTTTGTTCACTGTGCTGTGTAAGGTAACATACCTACTGGACCAACACTATCACCATACTTACAGACACAACCACACACACTTTGCACACTTTGTCAAACCTTTATTCTAATACTTTATCCGACTGTCCTCCTTTCTTACATATAATGATTGTACAGTTTTGTAAATATATCTTTTTGGTAAAAAAAATAATAATAAGAGCAAGAAGAAATTGTGTGTTTACACTGGCACCTATGTGCATCCATAGTTGTTACTGTAGTATTCTAGTTACTGTTCTAACCATGGAACTAATCATCATCCATATTTTGGAAAATAAAAATGGAACAGACCAGTTTAGGGTGTTTGGACAGTGAAGCCATTTCCAAAGCCTATGTTTATGGTAGCACCTGACCAATAACCTGTGAAGTACAATTAACAAACTTAAATATTATTATGGGAGAAAGGGGTAAGATGAGCCATTTTTTGCTTTTTCATTTGTCACATTGATAGATTGTCAAAATAATCACAATGCACAATGCTTAATGCACCTGTATTATGAACAGTATGCAATGAGCATTTGTACTTACCTAAAATAAGGTTTTTTGTTTTTTTTTTTTTACAGTTTACCCTAGGTGAAAGGTAAGATGAGCCAACAAGTAGGGAAGGTGTTGAATCATTGTACATAACAAGGACACACAGTGTCACTGATCTAGGTGCTTTTTTTTGCTCTTGGTGCTTTTAGCTCCTCCTTGTGGAGAATTTTCAGTCTGCTTTCCAAACATACTTCATACTGTATATTCTATACAAATCCAAGATGCACAAAGCATTTTTATACAAAACTACACTTTATAGGTTAAAAGGGCCTTGAATCTATATTTTTCTATATAATAAAGCACCAATCTGTAACTGCATTTTTATCACATAAAAATTAACAACCAACTAGACTGAACAAAGAAATGGAAACCAATAAATGTTTTCATAGTGTGATTCCCTGCTACTCCTTAACTCATCTTTTCATTTAAATCTATTCAACATTCAAAAAATAGGTTTGGCATATGAGCTAAATGGCATGTATGCTGTTAATTTGTACAATACACATAATGTATTGCGTGGAGTGTCAGTGAATCAATTTGCCCCAAGCCTGATGGTTCATCTTATCACCAATGTTCTGACTGAACTGCTCTACACAGCAGAATAGGGCTAACTTGCCTTTTTACCTTGCCTAGGTTTTTCTTTCACATCACAGCTTATGAAAGCAACAATTAAATTGAAATTTATTTGAAAATAACACTCCTTTGATTTTCTTAAATTTCAGTGGCAAGACGAAATCATATTTTTGAACACAAATCACTTGCTACATTCTCCATGTGCTCGTTTGTATTTCAGGTGGCTCATCTTACCCAGTGGCTCAACCCATTACCTAGAGTGCATCAACTGCCTAGATATTTAAGGTTTATTGGATGATGTACGTACCTGAATACCTGACATCTAACATTTAATTACTGTATAATTATACTATTAAAAATACTGTCACTATGATTTGAACATCAAGCTGATGACGTTTGGGATTTGTTAAGAATTTGACATGCAATCAAGAAGACACTCAATATTGGAAGTGATTTTTGTGAAGACATAGCCACAATTTTGTACTGGTTTTGAGAATCTTCTGTGCATGGGACGTTCTCTGAATAATGGAGATCAGGTGCGATTTTAAGGTTAGCTGAGTTGTTTCTGAAGGTTTCATATTCACGCTGTTACAATGTGTGCACCATTTTGTAAAAGTCTGTCTGAAGAGAACAATAAATGGATATTTCAATACACTGGCTTGGATATCATTTCTCTTGCTGCCTTTTCACACAACAAAGAGATCTCACTCAAATAGATTGAATAATGTGTTCTTGAAGTATTTTAAAAGGTTCTACTAATTCATTTATGGTTATTCAGTAATAATGAATTTCTCATTATAGCGAGTTAATGTTTTCCTAGAAAATATTAACTCACTATAATGCCTTTTCCAGACTCACTAAATGTCTTTTCTTGAAGATTGAACTGGTGTATTCTTTATATTTAAGATACAGCTCCACCATGTGGAAATCAACAAACTGACATGGCTATAACACATACAGTCAACATCAAAATTTCTGGCCTTACAATGAGCAAGAAGTGATGTATACAGTATAACACATGGTAATGTTTTAAGATTTTATTTTATTCTAATATATATACAGTCAGGTACATAAATATTTGGACATTGACAGAGTTATTGTTATTTTAGCTTTCTACCACAGTATACTGGAGTTGAAATCAATTTTCAGTTGTTTATAATATGAGCTCAAAAGGCAGACTTTCAGCTTTAATTTAAGCATGTTTACATCCAAATTGGGTGAACAATGTAGGAATGACAGCACTTTATATATTTGGTTCTGCTTTTTAAGGGCCCAAAGCAAATTGGGCAAACTAACAATGATAAATTAAATTGTCATTGTTAATACTTGGTTGCAAATCCTTTGTAGTCAATGACTGCCTGAAGTCTGGAACCCACAGACATCACCAGATGCTGGGTTTCTTCCCTGGTGATGCTCTGCCAGGCGTTTACTACAGCTGTCTTCAGTTCCTGCTTGTTCTTGGAGCATTTTGTCAGCAATTGAAATGCATGCTCAATTGGATTCAGGTAAGGTGATTTACTCACACTTTGCTTTTAAAAAGACTTTGCTTTGAGTCATTGTCCATCTGCAGTGTGTAAATGCCGTCCAATGAGTTTTGAAGCATTTGACTGAATGTGAGCAGACACTATAGCCCTATACACTTCAGAATTCATCCTGCTGCTTTTGTCATTTAATTTCAACTCCAATATACTGTGTTAGACAGCTAACATAACAATAAATTTGTCAATGTACACAATATATACTACACTGTTAGGGCATTGTTCTTCTTTCGAAGGATGCCCTTCCTGACGCAACCCTCCCCAATTTTATCCAGGCATCTTGTGCAACCCCAATGGCTGGGGTTAGTTCCCTGGGCGGGAATCAAACCCAGGCCACGTTGGTGAGAGCACTGAAGCTTAACCACTAGTCCTCCAGGGACTGTTAGGGCATGTATTGTTACTACATATTAGCAGTTATTACATTATGAGTTGCTACAGCACACACACACACATTTCTCCTCTGTTAACCGTTAAAAACTGTGACAAGTTGGAGTTCATTTAGCCTTAGCCACAATTTCCAGTCACATAAGTGCTAACTGCTTATGCTAAAAATCTAGCTAACATGAACTAATCTGGCAGAATTTTAAAGCCAGATTCCTAAATGAGTTTTCATTGCTAATGCTAATTTTTGTTATTAGCTAACATGAGCTAGTTTGACAATTGAGAAGATCTTAAAGTCGTATTCATAAATTCAGAAATCCTTCAAGTCATTCTGACATGGGTTACCCTAGTGATGCTAGCTATTAACTAAAAACTGAGGAGCAATAATCATTAATGTTCACAATCTATCTTTTACATTATCTTAGATGCTAGAACTAAATTCAGTTGTCAGTATAAACTACGTGGGATGGAATGTTAATTTTTTGTTTGTTTGTTTGTTGTTTTTCTGTCTGATGACCATGAGCTAACATAAGGAAAAACATTTTGTTTAACATGTTTAACACTTTGTAGGTCAATTTAGAATGCTAGCTAAGTCATAGTTTATTATATTATGGTCTAAAAGTCTATAACTTATCAAATGCACATTAAAGACATTACCTACAAGATTCATTCGATTAGTAGGTACCTACCTACCTTATAAACTTATAAACAAAGATTTTGTCTCACTAAATTTTTGTTGATTGCATGCACTCTTGAAGAGTTGAATTTGTGTGCATCGTTCTCTGTCATTCTCATTCATAATGGCAGTAAAATACCAGTCCCACTGAGAAGATGATATGTTTCTGTCCGTGGTATTTGCTAAGCCCAAGGGCAGTACCGCTGCAGCTGCAGTAAGTGATCTTGAACATAGCAACCCACCTGAATTTGATTGACAAGTTTGATGTCTGCCACACACTGGGATGATGAAGTGGCTAGCATTTTCAATGAATCTAGCTTCATGCAAATTAACAGTGTGGTCTGTTACAGTGTTACGAAGGTTGTTTCTGAGTTAACTGTGAGACCAAGCATCATATTGTGTGCGAGAAAGGTGGACACCTGCATACAGCTCAAGAACCCTTTCGGGACTAGAGAAAGGTAATATTTTGTATTGGAATGATTGTCCTTGGAAGGCAAAACTCAAAAAACATCTGTGTTTTAGGCTGATGCGGACATGGAAATAGGCATTGTGCAGATACACAAGGGCTGAATGGGTTGACACCCAGGAACTTATGTGTGCACTGGAACACTGAGAACCAAGCTGGAGCAAATTGAGGGTGCCGTATGGCTGGTCTGGAGATTTATATTTATATTTAACATTTATATTTACATTCAACATTTAGATTTATATTTAACATTTACATAAAGACTTAAAAGTATTACTTGACATGAGTCACTATCTGAATATATCAGAATGGCCTAAAATGTTCAAAAAAGTCAGAGAGAAAAGAGTATTCAACTTTTTACATTTGCATAACTAGTGTTTAGTAGTCATTTATTTATGCTTGCATTTATAAAGGTAGGCCGCTCTGGTGTCCAGGGTCACCAGGTTGGTGTGACCAAATTGGGCAGCAATTGCTCCAACCTCAAAAAACCTAGATTTAAACTCCAACATCACTGCCATGCATTGTAATAGTAACAGTAACACTGTTTCTGTGAGTAGTTCAGAAATAAAATGACCAATATCTCGGTCACACGGAGTTGGCAACCCTACCTACCATGTTGGTCCACCAAGTAGAGTTTAGAGTTTAGAGCACAGTTCTTACAGGTTTTTTTTTTTATTATTATTATTTTTTAATTTTTTAATTTTTTACACAGTTTGTGTTAACAGTTTGTGGTAATAGTCTTTAGGCTATTTGACTATATATTTTGGGTTAGTGGACTGTTCTCAACACAGCAGTGACACAGGATTTTAACTGATAAACCTGCTCTGACTGAAACCAGTACCAGTAATACACAGTGCTAGAAACCTGGCCATTGCAGTAACAGAGTATTACCAGGAGGGGGTTTAATGACACACAGGGCATCATGCTGTTTGGAAAGCTGCCACTGGAGGGAGCTAGTCCTTTAGTCCATAACTGGCCGTATACAGTAGCCTTTGGTCTTGACTGCCTACTAATCAAAATTACTGCTTTTTAGTATGAAGTAGAGGATCAGTGACAGCATTACTATCTCATAAGTGCATTAGTTACTCATCTGGTTTAAGTGTGATATGATGGTTTGACCCCTGGATTTTTATTACATAATCTAAATAATGCATATTAGTGACAAGTGGCAGAATTATTTTTTTCACTTGTTATGTAAAGTCTGGTGAAAATACCACACTGTCTTGGCTTTAGTTAGCTGAAATATAGCTCTGTGTATTACTGGAATACTGCAATCCCAGTGCTAGGCAATTTAAATTCCCAGCCACATGCTACGAGTGGAGCTGTTTTAATAGTTAATGACTTATTATCTTTGGCCCCTGCACCTAAATGTCTAAACAACATCATGGCACCACTGAGACACACACACTCATTATTCGACTACCTATATTTAACAGAACTGTAATATAATTATATTTTTTTATCCATTTTTAAGAAGCACTGATGCAATCACTTACATGAAATACAGTTTTTTTAGTTCCTATCTATTATAATAAAATACTTGCTTTTTGTGGCTGAGTGAGATAAAAAGAGAAAATGAGAAATATCCAGAGAGCTATCAAATCTTTCGGTCGAGGATATTTTGATATGGATATGGATAAGGATACATTTTCCTAATCAAATCGATACCTAGATTCACTATGATCAAATGTGTCTCAGCCAGTCACACTAGTCAAGAGATTCCTCTTCAGGTCTTCCTTTAACTCCTGATATTACTACATATTTGCAATATTCATACAGACCAGGTGCTTAATTTTATCTTTTGTGCAATACAGCATGTAATTCTCCCATTTATATCAAAATCAATGTTGATCCACAGTACTCCAGTAGTCATTTATACAAATACCATCTGCAGCCTTTAATGCCGGGTAAATACATTTGCCACCTCCAGCGTAGAACTTAAGTGTGAGTACACCTGCAGCATAAATCAGTTTAAATGGAAATGAGTAGGGGGTGAGCAGAAGGGCTCGGAGTTTGGATCAGGGCACAGCCAGAGTACTCTATGATGCAGGAAGACAAGTGCTTTATTCAAGCAGATGCAATGTGGATGACTCACATCCTACTTGCTTTTCCCCTAAACCCAAGTGACGTTATGTCAATTAGCCATGAGCTCACCATTTTCAGCCAGGGTTGTGGCACTTGTAAGGCAGAGCACAGGTCATAATCATGAGAATAGATGGACATATGTCTTTAATGTCTAAAATCTCTCGTCAGTTATCTTGTTGGTTATCATGTTCTCTCCACCATCTCTCTCTCTCTCTCTCTCTCTCTCTCTCTCTCTCTCTTTCTCTCTCAATACTCAGGACCCACCTCTCACTCCAACATTATCTTTCCCGGAAATTGCATTTCCAGCACAGGCAGGGCCCCATTATGAGAGCAGAGAGACATGCTGTAACCTTTTTAAAAAGCCATTAGAGCTGCACCTGCCCCTCCCCCATTATCCAACAACCCTACACTCCTTCCCCCCACCAGTCCTCCCTCTTTCTTTAAAGCCTCTGTAATGTTATTAGTCCTCCTCAACATTGACCATTACCCTGATCTCCAGCAGGCCCCTGGCCTCCGACTGCCCTCCCTATAATGGAGAGGAGAGGAGAGAGAAAAACAGAAATTAGAGAGGAGAGTAGAGGAGAGGAGAGAAGAGGAGAGGAACGGAGAGGAGAGGAGAGGAAAGGAGAGGATGTGACAGAAAGGGAAAGGAGTAGATAGGAAATGACAGGAGAGGACAGAACAGGCAAGGGCAGGACGGGAGAAAATAAGAGAGGACAAAACAGAGGACAAGAAAAGAGGAGATGAGAGGAAAGAAGAGATGCATAGCATAACTCCTTGACAATCAAGGAGAGCAAACAGTCTTCACATATACACAGACAGATTGAGGAAAAAAAGCATCAGTACCTTGGATGAGATCAGAGCAAACAGACAGCCATCCAGTCTTGTGTGTACAGTACAGTACACACACACATTTGTAGAGGGAGGGATTGAGAGAAACTGAATTGTTAGGGCCAAACTTCCAGATGGACATCCTACATCCCGGAGTTTGGACTGATTACAAGAAGTAAGATGGGTGGACACAAAGGCCACAGAGAAGAAGCGAGAGGGAGAGAAAGTAATGTGCATACATACACACTTTCATTTTACTTGCCTTCACCTTTGCTTCTGACTTTCCCTTGTGTAGAATTCTGAGTGACGCAAAATATCACCTTCTCATGCAATAACCTCACTTGCTCTTTCTCTTTAACCTCCTCTCCATGTCTGTCTCTTTTCCTTGTCCCCCCCTCTTCTGTTCTGCAAATCAATCACCATCATCCTAATCTTCATCATCCTCATCATCATCATCATTATGGTGTTTGAATACGAGCAATCAGCCATTGTCATCTTCTTGAGTCATCCTGCCCGCACACACACACACACACACACACACCCACACAAAGAAAAAGGGAAAAAAATAGAAAAGCTTGTTCATAACTTAAAGTAACATGTAATGATAATCCATAAAGACACCTGTGATATTATTTAATGTAGATTCATACTTAAATTGTCACAGTTCAGGAAGGTTGAAACCTCACAGAGTGACAGATAGGAAATGAAATAATCTGGGAATAAAATTCTAAGTTGATAACTTATTTATATTATTCTAAAGTCATATCTCAAATATTCAGTTAATAATGGAAATATCAATTCCTTCTCTCTTGCACTCTCTCTTTCTCTCTTTCTATTTCTCTGTCTCTCTCTCTGTTGCAGTGTGTGATGCCTGACTTGCATCATGCTCTCACTGAGGGAGATGTTTGCAGCCAGTTTGTCAGGCACTGACGTGAAATGT